GTGAATTATTATTATTATTTCTGCAGTTTAGCGCCATCTGCTGTCAGAGAGTGAAAGTGCGATTCATCCAGAGCATCTCTCACATGTTCCCGCCATGTGCTTCTCGTCCGTGCTTATTTACATCAGTGCGCGCACGCGTCTTTCAGGCAGCATACAGCGGTGTTGTGCATTTTGACAAGTTGATGGGAAAAGTATTCTTAAAATGCATTCAAAATTCTGAATAACTTGTAATATATAATTATTCACGGTATTTAGAAGAGCCCAAGATAACAATATCGTGCATATTCATTACTGTGATATATCGCATTACCGAATACCGGTCTAATGTGCACATCTAACCTCCGAACCACGCAGCAGATTCGTTCTGAATGAATCTCTTCCCAAATCGTCCCTCCCTAACATTTTCGTCTCGTTTTTATTAGTTGACAAAAATGTCAATAGATTTACGTCATAGTTTGTCATTCAAAAAGAGTTTTAGTTTGTTATCGTCGGCGAAAAAAATTATGACAAAAATTATTCGTCAATGAAATTAACACTGCTCCATCAAGCTTGAACGTCAAGTCAACATCGAAACAAAAATAAACCCATTTACTTTATTAATACACAATCACGGTCTTTTTAAATTAATAATCAGTGCACATTATTCCAAGAAAAAAAAGCTTTATTTTAGAAATATTTCATCGCTTGCTCAGCCTCTGAAACTTTTTAGCTGACGTCACAAAACACTCTTACTTCAAATCAACCCATCTTCTCCAACCAGCTTTATTCAGGCACGTAATGGGGCACATTTCACAATCCAAACCATTTCCAAATGATAAATTTAGTTCACAGCCTACATTTTCACTCATTAAATACACTTAAAATGTTTTACATTACAGGTGTAGCATGGCTTGCAAATGCTGTTTCATGTTGACTTAAGATTTTTAAATATGGAAATAGCACCAGCGAGGCCTGGATGATGAAGCTTCAGGACAACAAGATCAATAACGCACAGCTACTCCAACATCTGTAGCGTATCAAGCTCTCATTTAGAAAACTATCTTGGAGCAAACCAAAGATGATTTAGGAACAAAAACTACTAATTTTTCTCACAACATTTCAATCACACAATGTTAAAATCGAAGCCAAGCTCACTCATGTGGATGACAAAGCGGTTTGGGGCCAATGGTGAAGAAACCCTTTACCTAAACAATGAGTTAGGCTATGGTTTCAAGATATTTCAACAATTTTGAATGATAAAGCCACATTTGTATAGTTAAGCCCTGAAAAGCTACAAACACTGGACTTAAACTACTGACTTCCTGGATGTTACAACCTCTAAATGACACTGGTACGCATGTCAACATATGAGTATTTCTGGAAGGAGTATTTCTGTTCCTGACACTTCTTGTGTACACTAGATTTTGAAACTCTGCTGAGGTCTCAAAACAACAGTCCACGCTAACAAGCTAAACTGTCTGGATGAAAACGCCACAAATCTGCTTGGTATTGAATGAAGAGGTTCCCAAATGTTCTTATGGTCATTCATAGGTAAAACCTTGGCTTTAAATAAGTTTGCATTTGCAGAAACAAATGTTTTTTTTTTATATTTAAAAAAAAAAAGTTTTTATATTCACAGCTTTTCAGACAAGCACACAGAGCCTGATACAAAAAGTTCTAGACGTACCCGGTCTCTCTCATGAGAGAGTAGTGTCACAGGTGGGAGGTCGACACCAAAGACCCCCACGCTCCTGAAGCAAGCTTTGCCTCCCAGCCCACCACTGTTCATCCTGTAGAGCGGCCCATCCTTGAGCAGCCGCCCGTTGTTAACCGCCCGCTTAGTAGCTAGCCTCAGCCTCTGCTGAAACCTGGGGTTCGCCACAACATTCACCAGGTCGCAATGGCTTCTAAGAAATCTCTCAATGTTCCTTAGAGAGGAGCCAGCCGGGACGCCCAGACCTTCGATAGCCCTCCTAAGGATTTTATTCCAATCCACATGACGCAGATCTCCAGCAGGTATCACAGATCCAAGCGAGACCAGGCCAGAGCCTCCCAGCTTGAAAGGCCCAATCCTTCCCGGGTTATCGGGGTCTTTGTATGAAGCGCACCCTTTGCTGGTAACCTTAAGGATGGATCCATCCTTCACAGAGAGCTCCAGCTGCTGGAGTACAACGCCCTTGTCTAGTCCATGTGAGGTTGAGACGGCATGGCAAATCCGCTCCTCCGAAGGCCGCTGCTTCTGCCTTTTGATCTTCTGAATAGCCTCAAGAATCCACTCTGTGTACAGGGGATTGGCCAGTTTCACCATGGTGAAATAAGTTGTTTCATTAAGGTGTGATCCATGAATACATTCCTTTTCTTTTAAGAGCAAATAATACGCATCCTCAAACAAAAGCCAGCCATTAGTATATTATGCCGAGCAGGATATGGGACTGATGTAACTCCTCACAGATCAGACTGGATATTAATTTCTTTTCCTTTTTGTCAGAAAAAAAAATCCCTTGTGGTTGTAAATCCAAAGTCAGAGGACTTGCTGAAAAATCCTTTCGTGTTACACCTGTGGTTGTGAAGAGGAGAAAAACAGAAAATACATGTTACTTTGCAACAAAACAAACACTCTCTCCAGAGCTAGTTACATGGGCATGGCAACCTGATCCAGGGGGTTTGGCTAACCAACACTACCGCTTGTTTACATTAGTCATATTTCTACATTAGTCATGCTATTTTACACAAGTACAATGTAAAATAGGTTTAAATAAAGGGAGAGTTAAAAAACAACAACAAAAAAACAACAACAACATTATATAAACAGTGTCATTGTTAAACTAACCCTATATACATACGTATGTATGTATATGTACATATATATATATATGTACATATATATATATACGTATGTATATAGGGTTAGTTTAACAATGACACTGTTTATATAATGTTGTTGTTGTTTTTTTGTTGTTGTTTTTTAACTCTCCCTTTATTTAAACCTATTTTACATTGTACTTGTGTAAAATAGCATATATATACACACACACACACACACATATATGGATAAAAGTGTCTGCTAAATCACTAAATGTAAATATATATACATATATATTCCCAGTCATTAGAAATAGAACATGTGACTTCAGGTGTTAGGTGCACACATTCCATAAAAAGAAAAATCACCAGTTCAACCAGACAGACTAGTACAACCAAGAGACATGTTAATTCACATTTTGATAAAATGAGAGCCACTTTATGAGAACTGTAGCTGGTACTCAAAACCTGCCTACCTACCTAGACAGCAAAAATGCTACACGTGATTATGATGCCCATATGCAGTCTAGCTAGGGAGCTCACTATAGTGAGACAGTAATTTACTCCAAAATATTACATACATACATATATATTACATTTAGCTACAAGCTAAAACACAGCACACCGTTGATAACGTAAGATTTTATTAAGCTCATTGATTTATGATAGTGTAAAAACCCAAACAGCACAAGCAGAGGAAGAACAGTGCTGCGAGCAGCCAGCAGGTGACATGCAGTGAACAATTTCTCAAGAATTCCTCCGCTCACCAACAGCAGCCGTGTAAACTCAACCACAACTTATCTGCCATAATATTGTTATATAAAAAGCCTCACACACATAACGTTACTGAGGGGAACACTTGACCCATTCCTCTGAGACATTAGATCCGGCCTAAACAGATCCAAGAAAAGCTACAGTAAATAATTGAACGGCGCAACTGGGTTAGCCGAGGTATAATATATAAATACCCACTAAGTTAAATAACTCGAGTTTAACTGTGGAGGCATGACAGCACACACAGTGTTAGCAGCACATATAAAAACAGGACAACCGATGGTAAAACAAAGTCTATTGACACTCACTCGTTGTGGATGTTCAACCCAAACTTAAAAACACAACATGCAGTGTTGTTTAACATTTGACACTTATTTAATCGTTTTTAAATCTCGTCTACACTCTTCCAGCTTTGGTCACAAACTACGACTTGGCCGTGACATTTCACATTAAGAGTCTAGCAACATCATCTCAAATGTTGACAGCTAAAACAAAACACAGAATCACAAACGCGTACTGACTCTTACTTCAGCTCGAGTCCTCTGATTAAAGCCGAGATAGTGAGCTAAAGTCAGGCGAATCTCAAAAGCATTCGGCTTCTTATCTCCAGCATCGGCTTTCTAAACAGCCCCGGAGCTCAAGTCTAGCACGCTAAGCTAAAGCTGGCTAAATTAGGTTATGCTTTATGACTACTTCCGACAGATGACTATCTATAATTTATGATGACAAAGTCAACACGTCAATTAACCTAAGGTCTCGCAAACCTTGTTTTCTGGACGCTCTAACACGGTGGACAGGTCAGGTGACTTCGCCGCTTTGCCCGGTCGCGTTACTAAACAGACGCCATTTTGTTACAATGTTGTAGTTTACATGAATCCGACATGGCACTGATTACAACCCAATGGAGTCTCATTAAACCTTACCTTCACAAAGACGGTCCCGCCCAAGAAACTTTAATATTGGTTAGAAAGGGCAAATACTTATATATATATATATATATATATATACACACACACACACACACATATATGGATAAAAGTGTCTGCTAAATCACTAAATGTAAATATATATACATATATATTCCCAGTCATTAGAAATAGAACATGTGACTTCAGGTGTTAGGTGCACACATTCCATAAAAAGAAAAATCACCAGTTCAACCAGACAGACTAGTACAACCAAGAGACATGTTAATTCACATTTTGATAAAATGAGAGCCACTTTATGAGAACTGTAGCTGGTACTCAAAACCTGCCTACCTACCTAGACAGCAAAAATGCTACACGTGATTATGATGCCCATATGCAGTCTAGCTAGGGAGCTCACTATAGTGAGACAGTAATTTACTCCAAAATATTACATACATACATATATATTACATTTAGCTACAAGCTAAAACACAGCACACCGTTGATAACGTAAGATTTTATTAAGCTCATTGATTTATGATAGTGTAAAAACCCAAACAGCACAAGCAGAGGAAGAACAGTGCTGCGAGCAGCCAGCAGGTGACATGCAGTGAACAATTTCTCAAGAATTCCTCCGCTCACCAACAGCAGCCGTGTAAACTCAACCACAACTTATCTGCCATAATATTGTTATATAAAAAGCCTCACACACATAACGTTACTGAGGGGAACACTTGACCCATTCCTCTGAGACATTAGATCCGGCCTAAACAGATCCAAGAAAAGCTACAGTAAATAATTGAACGGCGCAACTGGGTTAGCCGAGGTATAATATATAAATACCCACTAAGTTAAATAACTCGAGTTTAACTGTGGAGGCATGACAGCACACACAGTGTTAGCAGCACATATAAAAACAGGACAACCGATGGTAAAACAAAGTCTATTGACACTCACTCGTTGTGGATGTTCAACCCAAACTTAAAAACACAACATGCAGTGTTGTTTAACATTTGACACTTATTTAATCGTTTTTAAATCTCGTCTACACTCTTCCAGCTTTGGTCACAAACTACGACTTGGCCGTGACATTTCACATTAAGAGTCTAGCAACATCATCTCAAATGTTGACAGCTAAAACAAAACACAGAATCACAAACGCGTACTGACTCTTACTTCAGCTCGAGTCCTCTGATTAAAGCCGAGATAGTGAGCTAAAGTCAGGCGAATCTCAAAAGCATTCGGCTTCTTATCTCCAGCATCGGCTTTCTAAACAGCCCCGGAGCTCAAGTCTAGCACGCTAAGCTAAAGCTGGCTAAATTAGGTTATGCTTTATGACTACTTCCGACAGATGACTATCTATAATTTATGATGACAAAGTCAACACGTCAATTAACCTAAGGTCTCGCAAACCTTGTTTTCTGGACGCTCTAACACGGTGGACAGGTCAGGTGACTTCGCCGCTTTGCCCGGTCGCGTTACTAAACAGACGCCATTTTGTTACAATGTTGTAGTTTACATGAATCCGACATGGCACTGATTACAACCCAATGGAGTCTCATTAAACCTTACCTTCACAAAGACGGTCCCGCCCAAGAAACTTTAATATTGGTTAGAAAGGGCAAATACTTATCCCTGGTTTGATAACCAAAGTGTCAATCACAAAGAAACAGTTCGGCCTCTCGAGGAATCGGTTGGCTTCATAATCTGTCAATAATCACTTGACCCGCCTCTTAAAGAGATAGTTCAACACCGCTGAACATTCTATCATCATTTACTCGCTCTCATGTTTTTCCAAACCTCTATGACCTTTTTTCTTCCGTGGAGCACAAAATGAGACATTAAGCAGAAAGTGAGGAACTGACAGCTCAATCATTATTACCTTCAGTGTTTTTTTACACATACAAGTGATAAGTAACTGAAGGCTGTCATTCTGCATATCATCTCATTTTTAGTCATATGGAAATATTACAACGCGAGGAGGAGTAAATTACAATATTTTCATTTTTAGACCAAACTATCCCTTTAAGGTGTCAACTGCTCTTTAGTCCTTACTGCGTATGCAATGCAATACCTGCTATTCTATCCGCATTAGAGTACAGTTAGCAGGGATAGCGGGGATATTTTATCATCATGTAATATAATGAGTTTAAAACTACTTGATGGCTCTTTAATGTAAGATCAGCCGAAACTCGCTCTACACCTTTAAGAAGGCTCCCCCTTATGAGCAACGCACAACACTGCAATATGAGCAGATCGACCTAGTCACACTTTTTGGAGAATAATATAATGGTGAATAATTAGTCCAAGTGCTCGAGTTATCTCTGGCATTCCCCGTGCTGTGTGCACTGTAACCTAATATTATAATTAGTTTGCACTTTACAAAAGACACGGGAGGCCACGAACTATCGAGCGCGCGTACATCCTTACGAAGGTAGTGTGCACGCAAATAAGACATTTATAAATCTTGCGAATGCCTAAACGGATGATGGCACATCATTTCTCCCGTTATTCCGGAACGCTAAAAAGCAGCGATGATGACTGCCGTTTGTTTACGCGCTTCTGTCTAAAGCATGCAAAATGCACTCATATTTCAAGATCAAGCAACTGAGAACAGATAGCATCTGGAAAATTCCATTTATGCGGGTCAAGCAGTAGCTTGCGATACTTGCGCGGTTCGCGTAACCCAATAACCCGAATTAATTTCTCCGCTCGCGTCAAGTTACATCACTCACGACAACTTAAACTTGAACGATTAAAACATGCCACCGATAACGAGCCACTGCCGAGATAAATGCCCGACAACGCTGGCAAAGCGAACATTTACCTTTAAGTTCCTCGCGCGCTCTCTCCACGCTCCTCGTATAAGCAATAAAACACGCTTATTTGCGAAGCTGATGATATATGCGTAAAGTAGCCTGATAAATCCAATGGGGTCCTGTTTGATTCGGAAGACGAACGCACGCGTAGGAAGAGCGAACCTGATAACAACTAATTGAAAGGTTAATCTACATAGGAGTCTGTGACAAAGTAGTACCCTCCCCTTTCGGCACTCCATCAGCCACAGAGGAGGACTAACTCGCTGTAACCGCTATGTGACATCACATCGCTCATTGGGAAACAATGTACATTGTTTCAGACTACATGTTATGGGTGGGAAAAGAGGAGACATAATGTGCCCTGTCTGTGAAGAGGAAAAGGAAACTTTTAATATCGCTTATTGGGACACGCATACAAAATCGGCTCCAAGTCAATAGTCATATGCAATTATGATAAATTTGAAACTATTCGGGGAAAAAGACAAGATGCTGTGTGATATGCCATGTTTTTTTGAAGAGGAAGGTGAAACTTTTAATGTCACCCAGCACAAATCAGTTTCTTATGAATACATGCATAGCCTATAGCATAATTATAATAAACACTGGTGTAGCGAATTTAATTGATGTTTGTTTGCAATATAAATACCAGCATCAATTAAATACAGTGAAATGTGCTTCACCACAGTTGGAAAAACATAGCTGGAGTAAATCTAAACCATTCCATAACTAAATTTGCAACAAAACCCCCTGACAGTTTGCAAACGCACCTGAAAGCCCATGGCTTCGCCCTGCAGTGAAAATTTGGTGTAGCGCAGGGCAATCTGAACCATGGACGTTACTTTTTACTGTGCCTGAAAGGAAAACAAATTGCACACTAAATAAAACTTGAGCCATGCAGGATGTGGTTACAGTTTGGCAAAAGCCTTCATATTGGCTTCCAACAAAGCTTGATCAAGGAGATTTGACACCAAAGGGTTGTCTTCAGTTGTCTTTTTTGAAACACCGGGTTGAGCTGCTTACACAGCAGCTGGTCTGGGTGTGATATACTGGCACAACACTAAATATTGTGTTATATATAATTACACTGCTTTCAGTTGGATCAACTTTAGTATTTGACATTGTAAATTTTTTACTGTGCTGTAATTTTAAAGTTATAACTAGGCATTGTTGTTTTTGATAATCTGCATTGGATCTTAACAATACCTGTCAATTCTCAGGTATAACTGGTGTTATTTTCAGTCAGAGACCTTTTTTTGTAGCACTGTAATGTGTGTGGCTATTGCAAGTCAGTGTTACTTATTTGTATGCCAAAAGGTAAGGTACATTTGTTTACAGTTTAGGCAGATACATTGGAATTATTCATGTTTGCATATTTCAACCACTGGCACATTCATATTCACATGCAGACAGAGGCAGGATAAATGCCCTGCACAAAGGTGTAACAGCACTAGGGTAAGCAGATTAGCTCAAACTGATGACCTGCCCGATGCTGCTGCATTTTTCTAACTACAAAAATACAACTGTGTTGAATGTTCCAACTAAGCAAAGACAAGCATTTCCTAGATTGCTGACTAGATCGTTTTCTTCTTTATAATATTAAAAATACAACAATATTTGCTATAGTGGACCAAACTAAATCAAATAGTTCTAAGCATATTAAGCATCAATCATTATGAAATGAATAAACTTTAAATAAAGTCACACAGTAGCTGGTCTGATTCATTGTTTTAAATAAACTGGTCCTGTTGCTTTCCAACGAAGATGATACAGTTTGGCATTTTTAATGAGATAACACATTTATATCAAGTTGTGTATTGAAAACGTTTTTTTTGTGTGTGTGTGTGTGTGTGTGTGTGTGTGTGTGTATGTGTGTCTAACCCACTTTATATTAAGTGTCTTTAACTACTATGTACTAACATTTAAATCAACCATTTGATACAATGGACTTATTGTGTAGATCCATATATTTACACTGTACTTGTATTTAAATCATACCTGCATGTAATTAGTTACACACCTGTGAATCAACTTATGTTTTATAAACCTCACAGGCAACTTTCGCAGGTCTTAAACACACCCAGCATCACTGTAAAACACAGCGGGAGGATTAGAGAAGTGGAAAAAAACACAAGCGTGACTGTGTGTGTGAGCTGAAAATGTGAAATAGTGCTCAAGGACTTTGTCCTTCACTAAGTTGTGTATTGAAAACGTTTTTTGTGTGTGTGTGTGTGTGTGTGTGTGTGTGTGTGTGTATGTGTGTCTAACCCACTTTATATTAAGTGTCTTTAACTACTATGTACTAACATTTAAATCAACCATTTGATACAATGGACTTATTGTGTAGATCCATATATTTACACTGTACTTGTATTTAAATCATACCTGCATGTAATTAGTTACACACCTGTGAATCAACTTATGTTTTATAAACCTCACAGGCAACTTTCGCAGGTCTTAAACACACCCAGCATCACTGTAAAACACAGCGGGAGGATTAGAGAAGTGGAAAAAAACACAAGCGTGACTGTGTGTGTGAGCTGAAAATGTGAAATAGTGCTCAAGGACTTTGTCCTTCACTGTCATTAAAGATTTCGCATGGACTTGTGGGTTGTTTAAAACCATGTGCTCAGTGATGCCAGGGCCTGAACAGGTTTGTCAGTGACAGAAACTGAATCTGCTATGATTGCTGTCACACATTGGGACAAAGGGTCAGCTGTACCTTCAGTCTCTCTAATGATGCTCACAAATAGCTACTCCTCATCCCATATCACAGAGATGAACCAATGCAGACCTGCCACTGTCATCAAGAGGACAGGTAGAAGCTGGAGGCTTTCTAACCATCCAATAGGACACAGAAGCTGAGAGAGTAAAATAGGCCAAAAGTGGAGTCCAGGTTCTCTGTTGAGAAAAAAAAAAAACAGATTATGCAAAATATAAACATATTTACACATCCTGCATAAATAATTATAAGGTTAGGAAGAGAATACAAGTGACAGCAGTAATACAGCCTCTTTTGTTTATTTTGGCAGTTTATGACACATTTAAGTGTTTCCCACAAATACATTTGGTTTACATCAAGACTGGCCAACAAAATTTCTTTGACATAAAATGAGCCTTTGATTTCAATAAAGTTCATCTGACCTCTGTATGTTTGTAATACCGGCTTCAGTTTTTACAGCTAATTACAACTAAAATAATTTTGTTAGCAAACACTCTTAACCACGATTCTAAAATGGCTTTAGTAAAAACAATTCAATATTTCCAACAGAAATTCCTCTTTTGTAAACAGTTTTTAATGTGAAATATGTCTCTATGATCGCATTAGGCTGTAAATCAGAGAAAACAGGCACAGCAGAAGGCAGGCAGTGAACAAGAGAGGAAAGAGGAACAGAAGATAAAAAGTCAATTAAAAAAAGGCATTAGTCCTATAAAACACTCGGGCGGCATTATCTTCCGGTCTCTCAGTGGCCCATCACTGGAAGTCTGGCTTTTCTGGGAATGTGCAGCCCGCGTGGCGAATAATGACGTTAGCAGCGTAGTGTCCAGCGCGGATGCACTGCTCAAAGGTCTTATCCTGTACCAGCTGAGACAGGAAACCTGCACACACATGCAAACAGACATTGAAAAAAAAAAAGAAAAAACAAAAGGACAAATCAGATCTGCCGCTTGCAAAAGATTGGACAGACAGAAAGCATGTGCAAACATGTTTAATGAACGCACACATGCACACACATTCAAGTGCGTAAACACACACATAAACATAAGCCGGCGAATGTTAGCTCAGAAAAGTAGTCGGGTATCGATTTTGTTGCATGTACTTTCTTTTAAAAAATTAAGGAAATCAGGCTTAAGGGGGAAAGGTGATGCAAAAGGCCCCCTTTAGTGATGTGCGATACAGAAATCCTCCAGCTGCCCCCGGGCTCTGAACCCTCCCACCTAGATCTCTGCTCTCTGCAGCAGCGGCGGAGCACATTGAAAAACAGCTGGCAAATTCATTTTCCAACACGGCAGAGCGCTGGCCTCCAACCTCTTGTTGGAACAGATAAAGGAGTTAAAAAAATCAATACGACGTTTGAGCAAACACGCTCACAGCTCTATTAGTCGCAAGGTTGTCCTGGAAGAGCTACAGGAAGACATGTTAGCAAATCAGGCTCGTGGCCTTTGAAAAGCAGAGGGCCGCGGAAGAGGCGTCGTATGAAGATAAATTACGCAGACCCGAAAGACCCGTACGAACGGCGTGATCAACACTGATATTTCTGTTTTTCATGAGGAGCCAAACAGCGTTGTGCTTTATGCTTTTAATGGATGGCTTCACAGTTCAGATTGGAGTAGACACGCAGCGGCTATCTGAACGCGTGGTTATTAGCGAAACCCGCAGATTAAAGCTGTGGGGAGTCTGGAAACTCCATAATCCATCACGAAAGTGATCTATTTCCCTGTAACTGTGTTATCTGAGGTTAAATAGTACAATAGTACATTGACAGCTTCATGTGACTAAACTAAGCCAAATGAAGGAAGTATAACTACAATTCATCTGCAAATTGTCATTCCAGAGCAGCTGCGCAGGAAATAAATAAGCACTGCGTGTCAGAGCTCTTGCATCACGGTTCCCAGAGGTTACAGGTCAAACCTAATCCTGGATTAAATTGTCCTGTCAATAGTGATTTTCCATTGAACATACTTTCGTCTAGGACCGGTCTGAGTCTAGGACACCTGTTTCAACAATACAATCCATTTGTGTGCTGACTGAGATTTCCTTCTTCTGTGATTTAAGCATTAATTATTGGGTTAATTAATCTATTAGGTTATAACACCTTGTGTTCTTGAGAGACTAAAATATTTGTAATAATGTTTGAATATTTATAGTGATCTTTTCTTTGAACATACTTGCGTCTAAGACTAATCTGAGTCTAGGGCACCAGTTTCAACATTTCAATTCATTTGCATGCTGACTGGAGTTCCTTTTTCTGTGATTTATGTATTAATTATCAGGTTAATTAGTTTAGTAGGCTATCAGATCTTGTGTTCTAGAGAGACTTAATTAAAATAATGTTTGAATTTTTATATGAAAATGTATTTCATAACAACAACAATAATCCATTTGTTATTATAATTCAATCAATTTGTATGCTGACTGGAATTATATTCTTCTGTAATTTAATAACTAATTATTGGGTTAATTAATCTATTAGATTAGG